GAGGAAAGGAATGGAGGGAGGGAGGAGCAGGGCAGAAAGAGAAAGTACTTTCTTAAATCGGTGAAGAAACTGCCAACCTCTCCATTCTCCAGAGAGCTTCATTTACCTTAGCAACTTATCATTACTAACAAGAAAACCTTATAGAATAAAGAGCAGCATCTAGAAAAGAGGTGTAGTTTAAAATGTAAAGTATAGATGCTGAGATGGCTGTAAATKTTTCACAAGTATTCATGGTAGGCAAAGCTTTCAAATGTAAGGCTCCTGAGTTTTATATAGGAAAGTTTGAACAAACATTTGAAAATAGAAATCCCTCTCAGTTTGAAGTTGAAGATTCATATAGGAAACGGCCCTTGRGCCTCTCTCCATACTATTCAGTAATGGTGTCTCTTTTACAACATGAATACAAAGCTGAATTTTTAAAAGATAGATTTTTCTAGAGTTTCTCCGCATACAAAGTTCATGCAACAATAGAAAAAATAAAAGGAAGCATCATTACAACTATTTAACAGACGTTTTTAGACATGTATGAATGGGAAAATGTACCTCAAATTTTATAAATTTTGAAAGTATGCTGAGTTTGCCATTCTGGGCACATAACTCATGTAGGCATTTTTTTTTTCACCCTAATTTTGGCAGGCCGTGCCCTCCTAGCATGATAGAATCTTTAATTCCTTATAACATTGGTCATAAGTTTAACCAGAGTGGGAACTATCATGAAAAATTAGATTTCTTTTCCTCTTCAATTGGGACTTTTGACAATTACATGTCTGTTCTGAATAAAGCCAGAAAGAACTCAATAAAATCATTAGACTCTGACTCTGGTATTTCATTCCAATGAYGTTAGCACCACTCAATCAAAACTATTTTTTATGTATTTCATCTTTTTCTAAATATTTTCAATTTATGTGCAGACACTAACTTTATCATCTTTGCAGTATAAGTGGCTGTAATTCCAGTGTACTAACTACAGCAATGGATAGCTATCCAGAAAATAAATGACATCYAGTGATAGCTAAGTGCGAGTCTTCATGTCACAGCTACAAGCCCCTTAAATMTGTGCATGTGTTTCATCTTATGTGTTTATTTCAAGAGCATTAATCAAGATAAATGAGAAACTTCATCAGAAGGGTTTGTGAAAAATTATTAAGAACTTAAGGAAAAATAAGAGTAGTGGAGGGGAGGGGCAGTCTCCACAGTCTGGGAACATTTGTGATGATTATGGCTTTGATCTTTCCCATGGAAGATAGAATATTTGATTTCATCTAACTTTGCCTTAAGTTGTTTTCATCCCTATGTCTTTTCCTTATTTCTGTCACTGTAGCACTAAACAAAATCRGTTTAAGGATTTATTTAGACAGTCTTCTCATTCCTAATAACATAGCCACCTGGGGAGATTTCTGCATGTACTAATGCACACAGGCGTTCATGAGTTACTAGAAATAATTGTATCAGCAATTTCTCTGTTACTTTTGACCTAAATAAGGCCTACTACTTTCCCAGACAGATAATTAGCTTTGCCTCTACAATTCAGAATTGTCTTTTTATCAGCACAAAACAATGTCATCTAACTCTGTCTGCTTTTGTTCACAGATGTATTTACACACACACACACACACACACACACACACACACACACACACAAACACCTCTTCCAAGAGAAATTTAATGTGTGCTTCAAACAATAACCAGTACAAGTGCAAGTCTAGTTTAGCAAGGCTGTGCACATAGGATGAGGAAATGGAGCTAAGAATAAGTTGGATAAAGGCCATTGTTAAGTCAAGGATGAGGATAAGTAACAAAGGGGATAGACATCTAGTTTCAAGAGACCAGGAAAGATGATCAGTGAAAGCAGACTGAAAATTGTGGGATGAAGCAGCCTACAATCAGTTTCTCAATTTGCTATAAGACCTCTGGGCTTTTAAAAATATGCGGATTCCAGGACCCCATATTAAGGGCARCTACTGAATTGTATCTGTCAAATCAGAATCTCTGTTAGTATGGCCAAGTAGTTTGTTTATAACATCACATTGAAACGTTTTTAATGCAGACAATCCAGGACTTCCCAGAAGCATTAAGAACAATAGAACCATTCCTGAGGCAACATCCATTAGAAACATCCWGGAAGACACAAATAACAGGCAGAATATCCTAGAAAAGCAAGCATGCAATGCATTAGTCAGATTTTTGTTAGGTTATCCTGCAGTAACAAATGATCCCCAGCCTACAGACTTTTATRACAACTTGCGTAACTGCTTGTAGTRACTGTGCTGGCCGTTTATCAGCTTGGTCTCTGCTCACATGTGTTCTTCATTCTAGGATYTAGCCCCTGTTAGGATGTGGTTTTCTCACAGAGAAAGAAAAGCATGAATGAATACAACACCCCTAAGGCCTCTGYTCAGTGTGGCACATAATCTTTCATTCACATTCCACCGACTGAAACCAATCTTACAGCAAGGCTTGAAGTCAATGGTGGAGACATTTTCCTCCAACAGGAAAGTAATGCCAGTGACATGATGATACATGGGTRTGCATGCACCTCTCACAGGTGGGAGACCAAATACCTGGTGTGGCAACTCTAGTGTTAATGAAATTTCTCTGYATGAGAGAACTCACCATGRGGAATGAGGGGATGAAGTTAGCTGACAAGACTACCAGTGACCCATCAGAGGACTTTGTGTTTCCAATCTGCTATGGTTTCGATGGATCCCCTGAAAAGCATGCATTGAGAACTTACTCCCTGCTGTATCAGAGCCAGGAGGTAGGACCTAGTGTGAAGTGTTTTGGTYAGGAGAGATCCRCCCTTATGAATGGATCAATGCTGATTATAGAAGAGCTTGAGGCTTTGAATTCAATCTCTTGCTCTCTTATCCTGTGATGACTTCCAGCATGTTCTATGAAGCAGGAAGACCTCACCAGGTGCAGCCCTTTGTTCTTGGACTTCCCAGCCTCCAGAATACTGAGCCAAATGAATTTCTTTTTTTTTTTTCCTAGTAAGGTATTTTTATTTATATATTCCAAAGCAAAACTCCTTGTCCCCCAAACAACAAACCATATATTAATGCATAAAAAAGTGTATTAACACAAA